CTTCCCAAGTGCTGGGATTATAGCAGGCACCACCATGTCCAACTTAGGTGAGCACTTCTTGCAGGAGAGTTCTACTGGTAACAAACTCATATAGCTTTTGCTTATCTAAGAATGTCTTAGTTTCTCCCTTCCTTTACAAGGACAGTTCCGCCGGTTATTGGATTCTTGATTGACAAATTATTTTTCTTTTAGCATTTTTTAAATATAGTGGTTCACTGCCTCCTGAACTCCAAAATTTGTGATAAGAAATCTGTTCATAATCTATTTGAGCATCCCTGTATGTGATGAGTCACTTTTTTTTCTTGATGCTTCCAATGGCCTATCTTTGGCTTTTGAAAGATTTGATTTTAATGTGCCTCAGTGAGGACTGGGAGTCTATAAGCTCATTTTATTATTTCCTCAATAGTTTCTCTGGCCTTTCTCTCTGATATTCCCACATATATACTGGTCTACTTAATGATTTCTGACCCGTCCTCTTAGGCTCTATTATAGTCTGTTTGTGCTGACATAACAGAACACCTGAGAGTGGGTAAATGAATAGGAATTTTCTGGCTCATGGTTTTGGAGAATGGGAAGTCCAATATCAAGGTTCTGGGACCTGGCAAGGGCTTTTCCACTGCATCATTCAATGAGAGGAGGCAAGAGGGTAGGAGAGAAGAGGGACTAAAACTTGCTCCATTTTATAAGGGTGCCTACGGGACGGAGCTGTCATGAACTCATCATCACTTAAAAACTGTTAGAATAAGATGGCACATGCTTGTAATTCCACCACTGGGGAGGCTGAGGCAAGAGAACTGGCACGAATCCCAGGCCAGTCCAGGCTACACAGTGAGACCCTGTCTCAAAAAACCAAAACAGTCCTTTCAGCCAGAACCACCATCCTCCAGTAATTTGCCAACCTGACAACATAAAGGGAAAGAGGAGAAGAACACATTATATGTTTTCTAGGACTTTTACAAAACATGGGGTTGTTCCTTTGGCTACATACATGCAAATCTACAAAAAAGGGTAATATCATAGACATCAAAGAAATGGGCACTGTTCAAAAAGGAATGCCATGCAAATGTTACCATGGCAAAACTGGAAGAGTCTACAATGTTACCCAGCATGCTGTTGGCACTGTTGTAAACAAGCAAGTTAAGGGCAAGATATTTGCCAAGAGGATTCATGTGTGCACTGAGCATATTAAAACACTCAAGGAGTTGAGACAGCTTCCTGAAACATGTCAAGAAAAATGATCAGAAAAAGAAGGAAGCCAAATAGAAAGTGTCTGGGTTCAACTAAAGTACCAGCTTGCCCCGCCCAGAGCAGCACACTTTGTGAGACCCAACAGAAAGGAGCCTGAGTTGTCAGAACCTATTCTCTATGAATTCATGGCATAAGCTGGGGATGCAGCTCTGCCATACAGCGCCTAACTAATGGCTAGGTATTCTAGGCCCGCCTTAAATATAAAAAAATTATTCTGTGTTATAAGGATGGTTTTCTTAATTGAACAGGTGTGTGGTGCCTTTACCTTGGAGAAACAAATATTTGGAGCAGATTCTCACTGTACCTAGTTAACTGGGTCAGGCCTTTAGTGTTTTTTTGATGAAAGATATGAGGTATAATACATGTGTATACCCAAATGGCCAAATATTTTCAAATATTTGTATTGGCTTGAAAATCCTCAATGGGGAAAAGATATAAAAATAAATGGAAGTCAGTATATGGTATTTCAGTTAAATAAATTGTTTAAAGCACCCTAAAACAAACAAAAAACTATTAGAATAAAAAGGTAGATAATAGGAAGAATAAAGGAGACAGGGTGGGGGGATACAACAGTAGCTGTATACAGTGGCACACACCTGTAATCCTAGCACTTGGAAAGTTAAGGAGGACTGCCACAAATTCAAGACCAGCCTAGACTATATAGTGAGGTGCAAGGCCAGCCTGAACTACATAGTGAGACCCCGTCTCAAAAAATAACAGTAACAATTATATGCAGCTGGGAAGTGGGGGGGACATAGAAAGAATTAAGATGTGTTACGTACATGTATAAAGTCCTCAAGATAAATGTAATCATTATGTACTGCAAATATGGACTAATAAAAAAACTGTTAGAATGGCTATTGTATTATGAGGTTTTTGTGAGTTTGATCCCCAGTTTCAAAAAAATAAAAAGGTTTTTGGTTGCTCTGATACTCCCCCCCACAACTTAAAGGATGAAATATTTACTTTGACTCATAGTTTCAAAAGTTTCAGTTCATGTCATCTGTTCCATTGCTTTAGGCCAGTGATGAGGCAGAAACATCATGGCCAATAGTCATAGTATAGGAAAGCTGCTTATATCTGCCTCTGAATGCTCCTAATAAATTTTCAATTAATGTACTTTTCAACTTTAAAATTTTTTTCTTTTATTGATCATAAATTCTGATTGTTTTTTCCTGACTTTCTCTGTATCTAGTTCTTTGAGCATCTTTAACACAGTTGTTTTAAAGTATTTCTTAAATTAGGAATCAGGTCTTTTTTTAGGGACTTTATCTGTTGATTTACTTTTGTCTTTTGAAATGGGTCACACTTTCCTGAAAACTGGACATCTAAGTATAATAATGTGGTAACTCAGATTCTTTCCCTTCCCCAGAGTTCGCAGTGTACTTGCCACTGTTTTTCAGGGTTTTTTGGTTATTTGTTTTTAACTGTTGTAGGCTGTCTCTCTGCCACATGAGGTATAAATGTAAAATTTTTCTGTTTTTTATGAGCCTGCACCTTTCCCTGGGCATGTGTGATCGCTTTCCACTTTTCTCTGTATATGTAGTTGCTTTTGAACGACCTAATCTTTAATGCCTGTCCTCCAAACAGAAAAATGAAAAGGGGTAGAAAAAGGGCACCAGACTATAAAATCCACTGGAAATTGCTTGAGTAGGAGAAAAGCCTGCAACAGTTGAGAGAAAATAAAACAACGGTCATCTGCTTCTTTGTATCTATATAAGCAATCAGTGATCATACCTCAGGTTTCCCATATTAGCAGGACGGGGCCTTTTTTGCCTATCTTGGCTCTTACAAGCCGTTTGCTGGTTGTTCAAAGAAACACAGCCATAGCTGTGTACCATGGGGCCTGGTTGGTGGGGGTAAGGAGGTATGGAGCATGACCAAATATACTAAGACCTGGAATTGGTTGAAATTAACTGTACTTTACTGTCCAAATCTTCCTCTGGAAGGAAGATGCAAGCCTTCAGTAGATTAGAAATTTTTAAAAATACTTACACGAGGGCCAGGGATTTAGCTCAGTAGTTCCACTGCCTGCCTTGCAAGTGCAAGGTCCTGAGTTCAATCCCCGGTACCAAAAAAAAGAAGTTATACCAGACAGACTCTGCCAACATAATTATTATTTACATGGGGGAGAAAACTTCCTGCCACTTTTCCAGAATCTCCATTTTAGCAAGTTATCATAGTGGGGCCTAGGATTTAGTTCAGTGGTACCACACCTGCCTGGTAAGTGCAAGGTCCTGAGTTTGACTCTAGGTACTAGAAAAACAAACAAACAAAAAAAACTAGTGTTAAGTCATCACAGATGATTCTCATACAGATCATTTGTAGACCACAAACCATAAGAATATCTAACCAATAAAGAAAAGCTATGGTTGTCTGCTACTTCACAAATCCAGTGAATTACTGTCCCAGAAGTCCATTAAGAAAGGAAGTGAAAAAAGATAAAAGGAAATAAGGGGTGAAAAAAAGAAAGGATAGAAGGAAGTGAGGGGTGGTGATACAGCTCAGTGGTACAGCACCTGCCTAGCATACACAAGCTCCTGGGTTTGCTCACCAGCACCTCAAAAAAAAAAAAAAAAAAAAAAAAAAAAAAAAAAAGTAAAATAACGGACTAGTATTCAAATAGTAGTTTATGTTAGAATCCCCCACCTCCAGGGAGAGAGCTCGGCTTATAAAAAGTGGGAAAGAATTTTAATTATTCATCAGATTTACTAAGTACTTACTACACTCTAGGGGATTAGAAGTGTGCATCAACATGCGTAGCTTCAGCTATATTTTTTTTCAGCATTTTTTGTTTGTTTTGAGACAGGGTCTCACTATGTAGTTGAGACTGACCTGGAACTCACTATGTAGCCCAGCCTGGTCTCACAGTGATCCTCCTGCCTCAGCCTCCCTAATGCTGGGATTAAAGGCGTGCACCACCATGCCTGGCTCTTAAAGATTCAATTTAACCAACCATGGATGAGAAATTTTTTGTTTTTAACACAGGGCGGGCCTCAATATGCAGTTCAGGGCAGACTCAAACTCATGGTAATCTTCCTGCCTCAGCCTCCCAAGTGCTGGGATTATAGACATGCACCACTAAGCCCGGCTTAGATGAGAAAATTTAATATATTTATTTATCAGCTTACAAAGTCTCAAGTCTTAGACATATTACTAAATGTGGCATGGGTGAGAATTTCTAGGTAAAGCCTCTACTGCTTTTAAGACCCAGAAAGAGAATCACAGATATCAGAAGATTCTTTCTTGGCTGAGAAGTATAAATTTTCAGATGGTGGAGTGGTGAGCAGCAGAGAAAGAGCCTCTCCTAGATTTGGTGTCTTGACACTGGAATACAGTAGTGCAAGGAGGAGGAGAAGAGGGAAGGAGGTCCCTGGAACCCACGAAAGATCCAAGACAAGAACTGAAGTCTACAGGGAAAGTGAAGAGAGAGACTTTAATGCAGAAATATAAATTTTTAGTTTCCTGGGAAGGTTGCCTTAGAAGGCAAGACCTTTATGGAGAGAGGGAAGTATGTATAGTGACAAAGGAAAAGGACAAGATTCAAAAGTTTTATGGCTAGTGAGCATTACATGAGGCAACTTTTGTAACTTCTTTAGGGAAAATTCTTAGCTGCTATTAAAATAGTAGTTTCTAATTGAGTATATACTGCAATATTCCTGAACGGTATACCTCAGCTTGAGATTTAGGATTCAGTTCTGTGTCTTAAATCTTTGCCTCAAAGCCCCTGCGCCTGAAAGCTTGATACTTACCCACACACGTTTTGACATCATTCACACTAAAGTCTGGATCTGGCATCCTAGGAAACAAACACCAGTAAGTATAAATCATAAGCACAACTTGTCTAGTCAGTGTGAGCTTTTTCTTCCAATACTGGGGGCTCCCCAATCAGGCATGTAAATCTTCACATTTAGACTTAAAATAATTTTTCAAATATAAATGATTATATTCACATATTGACACAGGAAAAAAAATATACAACAAAATGTTAGCAATGATTATTTAAAGGTGGAAGATTTCAAGAGATTTAAATTTCTTCTTACCTCACTTATACTTTTTACCTACAACATAAATCGGTGTGTAGTCTGTCTGTCTGTCTCTCTCTCTCTTTCTTTCTTTTGCTATACTAGGGATTTTAAACCCAGGGCTTTTGCACTGACACCCCACCCCCCACTACCACCACCACAGGATTTCACTAAATTGCCCAAACTGGGCTTGAACTTGTGTTCCTCCTGCTTTGGCCTCCCATAGTGCTGAGATTACAGGCATTGACACCACACCTGGCTACATTTTAAAATAAGTGAGAAATTATTTTCAATTACCTACTGCTCTGGGTTCTTAATACTGCCATAGTCTACAACTACTTTACAATCATACCCTGCCAGGCCCAGAACACTTACTTTATTCCAAGTCCATCAGAATTCTTGAATATCAGAGGGTCTCTCAAGCCACCCCGCTGGATATACTCTACATTAAAATCTGTCACCACAGGAAAACAATTATTAGACAAAAGGCATAGTTGGAATAAAAACAAAAGGGTCATAAAAAGGTGTAAATAATAAGGTATAGATAGTTTTCCTTCTGTGCATACTGTTGTGCTCTATTAGACAATAAACACATACTTGTTACTGAGAAGCACCTCATAGAAAATAGGAAGAACACACTGAAGAGTAGGGCTTTAAGGGTTTGCTATGTCTGCATTTCTACAGGAAATTTAGAATTTAAACAACAGAGGGTACAATATTATTAATGAGCCATCTCATAAATTCTAAATAGGAATTACCATTATCCTGTTTCTTACCAATCAAAAAATTAATCCTGACCATCACTACAATACACCTATGATATCTTTATCAACTCTGCTAAGGATCAAAGCTATGTGATACAAATAGAATCCCACCTTTGTTTCAATGGGGTACATATATGCATAAAAGGGTTTATTATACTATTTTAAATCAAACCCAAGTAGGGCTGGGGATTTAGCTCAGTGATTTCACCACCTGCCTGGCAAAGTTCAATCCCTGTACCAATAAATAAACAAACAAATAAAACCCAAGCAAAAGGCCATTAAGAAAAAAACAATAGAGGCAGGCATGGTGGCACACACCTGTAATCCCAGCACTCAGGGAGATTGCCAAGAGTTTGAAGCCAGTTTGGGCTACATAGTAAAGTCAGCCTGTATTACAAAGCAAGACCCTGTCTCAAAATACCATAACTACAATAACACTCCTAGTCTAATAAAAGACTGTCTTTTTTTTTCTTTTTTTGGTGGTACTGAGGATTGAACCCAGGGAACACTCAGCTACATCTCCAGTGCTCCATCTCTCTTTGAGACAAGATGTCAAAAACAAAACAAACCCAAGTTGCCAGGGGTAGGCTCAAACTTTCAGTCTTCCTGCCTCAGCCTCCCAGGTACTGAAATTACAGGTGTGAGCCACCATACCCACTTTTGATTCCTTTTAATACAAGAATGATTCAAGGGTACAAGAATGGGGGAGGGAAGAGTGTGTATAGGTCATATTATGCAACCAAAGAAAATGGATAAATAGCATCAACAGGCAAAATTTCAGTTGCATACATGCTAAATCAAAAGTTGTCTATGACATCCTATATCAAGGGATTGCACCTTTGAATCAAAATGATACTGATTGGGCCGGGGATTTAACTCAGTGGTTCCACCACCTGCCTTGCAAGCCCAAGGTCCTGAGTTTGAGCCCAGGTACTCAAGAAGAAAAAAAAAAACCAAAACAAAACTGACCTTTTCCTTCCATAAATGTAACAAAATTGGCATTATATTTGTTGGTATGGAGTTTTTCTTCCAAGTCAAAAGTTCTTTTTCCTTCAATTTCATCATCTGAAATGCCATCGTCTTCATAGCGTCGTCGCATGGTACCTCGCTGGGAAACAAGGGACATACAGATGAAATTACATACTTTCCTATATCTACCTATAAGCAGTGTTCCCACATATACAAAATACTAGTTTCAACATCAGTTGCTATGTCAAGCATCAATTTTCTTTACCTTAGAGATCTATTCTTCCTCTCAACTCATTATCAGCTGACAGCCTCACAATGCACAAAATACTCAACAGTTTTAATGAGCCACTGGATTCTCTACCTGTGAATTTTACCTTTGCTAACTTCTTAAGCCTAGCAGTATACATTCACAATAAAAAATTGAAATAGAATCTACTACATATTTTATCTACCTTGGCTTATCAAAGTAAGGATAAACTGGAAGGCATGGAAGAACATCCCTATAGTCCCTCCCAGCACTTAGGAGTCTAAGGCATGAGGGTTGGAAGTTTGAGGCTGGCTTGGGCTATATAGTAAGTTCAAGGCCTGAACTACAAAGAGAGACCCTACATCAAACAAAAAAGTAGATATAAGCTATCTTTATAGAAATTCAAATGAGCATCTAATGTTTTCATGAGGGAGAGCTAAAATTAGCTTTATAAAAAGACTTCAAGGATAGACTAATTTTGAATTAAAAGACCAAAAACTAACTCAAATCAAGAAAACTAAGCAATAGTATGCTATCCAGCTACCATTCGTTTGTTTGTTTTTGGTCCAGAGGTGGAGGGAGACCGAACTCCGGACCTTTCACTTGGGAGGCAGGCGGCAGAACCCCTCAACTAAATCCCTAGCCCCAGACCATTCATACCCAAAGATGACACACAAATAGCCAATAAGCATATGAAAAGATGCTCAATATCACAAATCACTAGTGAAATGGAAATCAAAACCATAGTGAGACACTACTTTATGTCCACTACAATGACTATCATCAAAAAAGATAAGATAACAGGACTAGTGGGGTAGCTTAGTGGTAGAGCACTTGCCTAACATGCATGAGGCTTTGAGTTTGATTTCCAACACTGACGAAAGACAAAGAAGCTGGGTATGGTGGCACATGCCTATAATCCCTGCATTTGGAAGGTTGAGGCAGGAGGATCACTGTTGAGTTTAAAGCCAGCCTGGGCTAGACAGTGAGTTCAAGGTCAGCATGAAGTACAAAGGGAGACCCTGTCTTTAAAAAAAAAAAAAAAGATGAATAATAGCAAGTGCTGACATGTGTGTGGAGAATCTACACAAATTAGCCATAAAAATGAAATAATTATATGTGCTATAACACGGACAAACTCTGAAAACATTAGGCCAAGTAAAAACCAGACATGAAAGACCATATATTGTATGATTTCATATAATGTCTGAAATAGGCAAATCCATAGAGATAGAAAGTAGATAAGTAGTTAGTTCCCAAGGACTGGAGAAAGGACGGAATGGGAAGTAACTGCTAATAGTATATGGCGTTTTTCTCAGAAGCCATGAAAATGTTCTGGAATTAGCACCGATGTTTACACATCTCTGTGAATATACTCAAAACCGAAAAATGTACTTTAGTAAATTTTGCAGTATGTTAATTTTATCTCATAAGCTGTTATAAACAATGTTGCTTATATCACAAATTTATCTTTCAATATATTTTTAAGCCAGTGTTAATATTTGCAAAAAATTTAAGAACATAATCATGTGACAAGTGGTAGAGGCAAAGTAGTAGTAGCCTTACCCTTCTAAGTGCTAAAAATAACATCTGGAATTTAAGGCTAGGTACTAATGATCTAGAATTGATTACACAAAACCTGCATTTATAAAACTACATAAAAAGACATTAGAGAAGTTTCTTAAGAAATGATGTGTAAAAAGGCAGAAATTAAATCATAAAAAATGAAAATAGATTTTTTATACACCAGAGGAAAACAAAATTGAAAGTTAAGATTTTTTTCCTACTCCTCATTCTAATGTAAAAACTCTAGTTTATGTAAATTTCTACAGCATATCTCATAAATACTTTAAAAAATGTACCCAATCCTGACAATAACCCTAGCCATCTGCAGGCAACAACAAAAATCTCTGCTATAAAGAAACCCAGAAGGCAGGGACATATTAAGGAAATCAGCCTCCAATCTCCTACCCATCAGAATAGCAAATAATTTTAACTGATTTACTGCTTCTACTCCAAGTGCTTTCCATACAGTTGCTCTTAGGCAGCCAAAGGAAGTCACTGGCCTGGTATGGATGCCAACCCCTACCCACCCTGGACTGAGTGTCACAGTAAGTAACAAGTACAAACTGAATACTGAAATCTATTTCTCACAGCAAATATTCAGGACTTCGGATTAGGCAATGGTTTCGTAGCTATAACATCAGAAGTACAAGTAAAGGGGCTGGGGATTTAGCTCAGTGGTTCCACTGCCTGCTTCGCAAGCACACAAAGACCCATCCACAATCCCTGATACCAAAACAACAAAACAGCTGGGCGTGGTAGGGCACGCTTGTGATCCCCGCGCACTCGGGAGGCGGAGGCAGGAGGATCGCTGTGAGTTCAAAACCATCCTGGACTACATAGTGAGTTCCAGGTCAATCTCAACTATACAGTGAGACCCTGTCTCAAAAAAACCAAAAAAACAAAACAAAACAACAAAAAACTACAAGTAAAAACAAAATAGGGTAACCTTTCGACTTCCTAAAAATTAAAACCTTTTGTATTTTTTTTTTTTTTTGGTACCGGGGATTGAACTTGGGTCCTTGCGCTTGCAAGGCAGGCCACCAAACAGCTGAGCTAAATCCCTGGCCCAAAACCTTTTGTATTTTAAAAATAATCAAGAAAAGGAAGAAAAAAACCATATGGAATAGGATTTTCTCCCATTTTAAAAGCATAAATCTAATAAGCATCTAATATCCAGAATTTTTAAAGAATTTTTACAAGTCATTACAAAAAACAATAATGAACAATTTTGCCAGGAATTTAGCCTGGCAAGCACAGGTCCTGAGTTCAATCCCTGGTACCATTTAAAAAAAAAACAATTGAAGTAGGCAAGGGATTTTAATATATAATTCATGAAGATTTACAGCTGGACAATAAGCACTTGAAACGTTTTTCATTAGCTTTATATTATTAGTCATTAAAGAAATGCAAATCAAAACCACAATGAGTTACCACTTCAGACCTATTAGTCAAATAACAAGTGCTGGTGAGGGCGTGGAGAAAGTGGAATCTTCATACACTGCTGATAACAAATCAACAAATGTAGTATATACACAATGGATTATTATTCAGACTGAAAAAGAAATCAAGTTTTGATACTTTAACAACATGAATAAACCTTACAGACATTATGAGTAAAATAAAAGTGAAATAAGCCACCCACAAAAAAGCACAAATATTTGATTCCTATTATATGAGGTACACAAAATTTGCAAAGTCATAGAGACGCAAAGTAGAGTAGAAGTTAACAAAGGCTGAGGAAAGGTGGAATAGAAATCCATTGCTTTGTGATTAAGAGTTTCTACTTGGGCTAGGTGTGGTGGTGCATGCCTGTAATACTAGCATTCAGGAGGCTGAGGCAGAGGATCCCTGCCAGTCTGAGGCCATCATGGGCTACAAAGAAAATTTGAGGCCAGCCTGAACTATACAGTGAGACCACCTCACAGGGAAAAAAAAAAAGTTTCCATTTGGAGATAGTGATGATGATGATAGCATAACACAGAATATAATCAAAGACACTGAATGGTATACTTTAAAAGTAATTTTAAATGGAAAATTTTGATCAAAGTTTTATTTTACTTTTTTTTTTTTTGGTACCAGAAATCGAACTCAGGACCTTGTGTTTGTGAGGCAGGTGGCTGCACTACTGAGCTAAATCCCGTCCCTTTACTTTTTGTTTTTTTGAGACAGAGTCTCGTTCTGTAGTTCAGACTGGCCTTGAACTCAAAATGTAGCCCAAGTTGGCCTCCAACTCAAAGCAATCTTCCTGTCTCAGCCTTCCAGGTACTGGGATTATAGGCATATATCACAATGCCTGGCTTGTTTATCATAATTTTAAAAAAATTAATAATGTAATATAATAAAAAATCATCCTTTGAAAAATCACTGCACAATTCTACCATTTTGTACTTTATAGTAAATAAATTTTCTTGCTTAAGATAATTACCTGGTGAGAATCAGAATAAATGACAGAATTTACATATAAGGAAACAAAAAAGTAAAACTATCTTTAATTTTTTTTTAGGTAACAGAAAATAAGAAAGTAAAAGAGTCTGAAGCAGTGACAACAAACTTTTTAGAGCATTCAATGATACAAACAGCACAATTCAGCACATGTGCCATAGATTCACCACCACTGGTCTAAAAGAAGAAGTTACCTAGTATCAATTTTACTGATACTTTTTCAGTGTGAAGGTAGACAGTCTTAGTGATCACTTCACTTCTAAATTCTAATTTTTGCTTAGTGATAACTTAAGGTCCCTTTATATTCTAAACTACAAGCTAATTCCAGCTCAGTTAACTCTTTCTTCAATTCACATTACACTATATTGAAAATTTGCTACCTATCAGTATCTCTATCCTGTACTCAAAAACAAAAACAAACCTCTGGGCTGGTGCTGCCACCTGCCTTGCAAGCCCAAGGTCCAAAGTTTGCCCCCCCCCCCGGAAAAAGAAACAAAATAAAACAAACAAACAAACAACCACCAAAACACGCCTCATTTCAACATCATACTGAATAGGAAAAAAGTGAAAGGATATCCTTGAAAGTTAGAAGGAGATAAGGGTGTCCATTCTCACCACTGTTACTCAATATATTACTTGACACTAGTCAGTGCAGACAACAGAAATAAAGAGAATAGTCAATTTATTCTTCTTTGCAGGTATTATTCTATGCCTAGAAAACTCTAAAAAGACCACCAAAAGTCTCTTAGAACCGATAAATTCTGCAAAGTAGCAGGATACAAAATCAACATACAAAGATCAATAGCTTTCCTATACACCAATAATGAACTTAGTGAGAAATTGAGAGCAATCCTATTTACAGTGGCCTCAAAAACAAACACACA